ATGTTGCATTAGGGATGCCTCGTTCCCTTGTCAATGAGTCCATAGCTGTTACATCTGGCATGCTTCCTCTCCCTCTCAGACACGTCCTCTTATTGTAAGTGAGCCCATAGCTATTGCATCTGAGATACGCCCCCACCCTTGTCAGTAAGCCCATAGCTGTTGCATCAAGGAAACATCCTCCCCTGTCAATGAGCCCTTAGTTATTACATCAGGGATGCTTCCTCTCCCTCTCAGACACGTCCTCTTTTTGTCAGTGAGCCCATAACTGTTGCATTAGTGGTCCGTCCTCCCCTTGTTAGTAAGTCCATAGATGTTGCATCAAGGAAACATCCTCCCCTGTCAATGCGTCCTTAGCTGTTACTTCAGGGATGCTTCCTCTCCCTCTCAGACACGTCCTTTTACTGTCGGTTAGCCCATAGCTGTTGCATCTGAGATACGCCCCCCCCCACCCTTTGTCAGTAAGTCTGTAGCTGTTGCATCAGTGGTATGTCCTCCCCTTGTCAGTGAACCCCATACATATTGCCCGTTTGACTGCTTTGGTGACGTCAGATGTGTTTCTAACAGATACATGACACTATTACAATGATATCACATTAAGTATATTTCTAGTCTCTGTGTCTGCTCTGTCGGCTCTGGAACTTCAATTGTTTTCCGCTGTAAGCGTTTGGAAAGAGCTCAATTCCTTGTGCCTCTAAGATTGCAGACTTTTTATGCTTTAGATTGGAAAAAGAGATCTTTTGTATAAGACGTTACTGTTGGACTCGATGCTGCCTTGGTTGGTGGTCCTGGTGGTTCCTGCTATCATACTACTATATATCACTGAGTTTATAGCAGTACCACGGTGTACGGGTATTCAGTTACCAAGATCATATTTTATATAAAACGAACAAGTCGTATTCGTGTTATGTTTTGATAAAACAGGAATTAAAGAATTCTTTGAAACATTGAAGTTTTTGACATTTAATCTTCTATATTTCGTATGTTAGCCCCAGATAGTACCACCTGTGTACCAATGTTGTCTTGTATTTTTGTAGACTTGTGAAAATATGAAAGTGCAAAGCCATAGAAAGAAATACTTTTGAAGTAGTCGGAAAACGAGAGTTTTTAAAAATCGTAAGTAATTACCAGTGTCCATTGATAATGTATCTTGTGGTGACAATTAGTAAGAAACAGGAGAAATGTCAATATGTAGTGACGTCACTAGATCAGTAGATACTAGGTTAGTAGATAATCTAGGTCAGTAGATACTAGGTCAGTAGATAATCTAGGTCAGTAGATACTAGGTCTGTAGATAATCTAGGTCAGAGTTTTCTCCAGTTAACACACGAGGATTATAAATTATACAGAGAATACAGAGATCGGGAGAGATCTACACCGACAATTTCTATATAATTAACCTTTTAACGTATAGATACAGTGCATTGATTAGGAATTGGTGTTTAACAAACTCTACATCAAACAGATCAACGTAATGTATACCGACAGAACAGTGTAGTGTTAACACGTGCATTCACACGCCCCAATGAGCACATGTTTTGTATTACAGTGTTGATGGTGCATCTGAATGATGTAAATTCTACAACAGGCGTGCATCTTCATTAGACGGAGGAAGTGTTTAGAGGGAAGAGGGAAGCTGTTGTTTTCCGATAAACTGATACATGCATCTGTTTTAGCTTTGATTAATACAAAAGAAATAATGATCGTTTTTTAAAGACAGGGATAAGCTAGACAAATGCTACTTGTCATTGTGATGACATCTTTGTCTTTTTTATCCTCAATGTATAATAATAATGAAGATAACGCATTTACGTGGTACATGTGTGATATAGAGACAGTATAAGGGTATATCTTTTAGGTAGGTATGCTATAGAGACAGTGTAAGGTATATCATTGAGGTAGGTATGATATAGAGACAGTGTAAGGTATATCATTGAGGTAGGTATGCTATAGAGACAGTATAAGGGTATATCATTGAGGTAGGTATGATATAGAGACAGTGTAAGGGTATATCTTTTAGGTAGGTATGATATAGAGACAGTATAAGGGTATATCATTGAGGTAGGTATGATATAGAAACAGTGTAAGGTATATCATTGAGGTAGGTATGATATAGAGACAGTGTAATCTACATCATTGAGGTAGGTATGATATAGAGACAGTGTAAGGTATATCATTGAGGTAGGTATGATATAGAGACAGTGTAAGGGTATATCATTGAGGTAGGTATGATATAGAGACAGTGTAAGGTATATCATTTAGGTAGGTATGCTATAGAGACAGTGTAAGGTATATCATTGAGGTAGGTATGATATAGAGACAGTGTAAGGTATATCATTTTGGTAGTACATAAGGTTATTGTATATAACTCTGTATAGGTTTGGAGGGTATTATATATAACTCTGTAGATGTTTGGAGGGTATTGTATATAACTCTGTATAGGTTTGGAGGGTATTGTATATAACTCTGTATATGTTTGGGGGCATTGTATATAACTCTGTATATGTTTGGAGGGTATTGTATATAACTCTGTATAGGTTTGGAGGGTATTATATATAACTCTGTAGATGTTTGGAGTGTATTGTATATAACTCTGTATAGGTTTGGAGGGTATTATATATAACTCTGTAGATGTTTGGAGGGTATTGTATATAACTCTGTATATGTTTGGGGGCATTGTATATAACTCTGTATAGGTTTGGAGGGTATTGTATATAACTCTGTATAGGTTTGGAGGGTATTATATATAACTCTGTAGATGTTTGGAGGGTATTGTATATAACTCTGTATATGTTTGGGGGCATTGTATATAACTCTGTATAGGTTTGGAGGGTATTGTATATAACTCTGTATAGGTTTGGAGGGTATTATATATAACTCTGTAGATGTTTGGAGGGTATTGTATATAACTCTGTATATGTTTGGGGGCATTGTATATAACTCTGTATAGGTTTGGAGGGTATTGTATATAACTCTGTAGATGTTTGGAGTGTATTGTATATAACTCTGTATATGTTTGGGGGCATTGTATATAACTCTGTATAGGTTTGGAGGGTATTATATATAACTCTGTAGATGTTTGGAGTGTATTGTATATAACTCTGTATATGTTTGGGGGCATTGTATATAACTCTGTATAGGTTTGGAGGGTATTATATATAACTCTGTAGATGTTTGGAGTGTATTGTATATAACTCTGTATAGGTTTGGAGGGTATTGTATATAACTCTGTATATGTTTGGAGGGTATTATATATAACTCTATATAGGTTTGGAGGGTATTATAAATAACTCTGTAAAGGTTTGGAGGGTATTGTATATAACGCTGTATAGGTTTGGGGGGAATTGTATATAACTCTGTATAGGTTTGGAGGGTATTATATATAACTCTGTAGATGTTTGGAGGGTATTGTATATAACTCTGTATATGTTTGGGGGCATTGTATATAACTCTGTATATGTTTGGAGGGTATTATATATAACTCTGTATAGGTTTGGAGGGTATTATATATAACTCTGTATAGGTTTGGAGGGCATTGTATATAACTCTGTATAGGTTTGGAGGGTATTGTATATAACTCTGTATATGTTTGGAGGGTATTATATATAACTCTGTATAGGTTTGGAGGGCATTGTATATAACTCTGTATAGGTTTGGAGGGTATTGTATATAACGCTGTATAGGTTTGGAGGGCATTGTATATAACTCTGTATAGGATTGGAGGGCATTGTATATAACTCTGTATAGGTTTGGAGGGTATTGTATATAACGCTGTATAGGTTTGGAGGGCATTGTATATAACTCTGTAAACGTTTGGAGAATATTGTATATTTTATGTGATAAGGTATGCCGACTATATAAATAATGTATTAAGGGTGGGACCTGAATAGAACTTTAAAGTATGCAGTTGACCCAACGTAAAGACAAATTTCTACATTTTACGTACATAGCAATACTCCTTTTAATTTGATAAGCACATGTTTTCATCAAACATGAAAAAACAACCGTGATAATGAAAACAAAATAAATAAAAAACAAATAATAATAATTACATATTATTGTGGCGAGTTCAGTGGATAGCCATATCATACCGGAAGCAGTAGGCGGCGTCAGTTGTGCTACATTGACAACGGTTCGCCAACAATACAGTTCCTAGAGCAAATGGTTACATTGATGTTATTATTTTGGTAAGTACGTGCATCATGTTATATTACATCTAGATATGTTACAATTCTTCCCATTTACAACAGGTATGAATGACAAGACTATGTTATTGGGCAAACCTAATTGCCGTGAGATATATTCTATTCACTGCGGTTGGCAAGCCTCAGTTAGAGATTTTACGTTGTAAGTGTAAAAACACAGAGAGTAATGTTGTATTTCGTCGAACGATATTAGTGTATATAGTACCAAATGTGTGATTTGAGGTGTATTGTATGGGAAATTGATGAATTCAATACTAGCAAGTACTGGTTGTGTATATTGTACATAAGATGGTATAACTCATTCTCGCCCCCTCATTGGCTGGCAAGCATATCACTATACTGAGACTGAAACGAAGGGCATTGTGGGAGAACATTATGTTGTAATTGGGAAGTTTTCGTAATTAACGAGTGGTTCAACATCAGCGCCACCGTCACAATAACTACGTGTTTATCCTCTTCCTTTGTGGTGATAGTCACATCCTCTATTTTCCGCCTTTCTGTCCCAGTTCCTTCCTGCAATTGCCCAATCTTGTGTCCCTGCCTCTGTAATTTCCACTAACTTGTGTGGGTTCCTGTCTCTCTAATTCCGCAATCTTGTGTTGGTCCATGCCTCGGCCTCTATAATTGTCTCAATTCAGTGTGGATCGCTGCCTCATTAATTCCATCATCTAATGCGTGGCTCCCTGCTACCCACCCCAACCCACCCCACCTCACCAAACCCCACCCCCACAACACCCCACAACACCCAACCCCCACCCCACCCCATCCACTTTTAGGTCCCCGGCCTCTGTAATTGCTTCATCCTGTATGGGTATCTGTCCCTGTAATTGGCCCCATTATATACAGGTCCCGGCCTCCATGATGGCCCCCATTATGTACAGGTCCCGGCCCCAATGATGGCCCCATTATGTACAGATCCCGGCCTCCATAATGGCCCCCATTATGTACGGGTCCCGGCCCTAGTGATGGCCCCATTATGTACAGGTCTCGGCCTCCATGATGGCCCACATTATGTACGGGTCCCGGCCCCAGTGATGGCCCCATTATGTACAGGTCCCGGCCTCCATGGTGGCCCCCATTATGTACAGGTCCCGGCTCCAATGATGGCCCCATTATATACGGGTCCCGGCCCCAGTGATGGCTCCCATTATGTACAGGTTCCGGCCCCAATGATGGCCCCATTATGTACGGGTCCCGGCCCCAATGATGGCCCCCATTATGTACAGGTCCCGGCCCCAATGATGGCCCCATTATGTACGGGTCCCGGCCCCAATGATGGTCCCCATTATGTACGGGTCCCGGCCCCAATGATGGTCCCCATTATGTACAGGTCCCGGCCCCAATGATGGCCCCATTATGTACGGGTCCCGGCCCCAATGATGGTCCCCATTATGTACGTGTCCCGGCCCCAATGATGGCCCCCATTATGTACAGGTCCCGGCCCAATGATGGCCCCATTATGTACAGGTCCCGGCCTCCATGATGGCCCCTATTATGTACGGGTCCCGGCCCCAATGATGGTCCCCATTATGTACGTGTCCCGGCCCCAATGATGGCCCCCATTATGTACAGGTCCCGGCCCAATGATGGCCCCATTATGTACAGGTCCCGGCCCCTGTGATGGCCCCCATTATGTACAGGTCCCGGCCCCATTATGTACAGGTCCCGGCCCCAATGATGGTTCCTATTATGTACGGGTCCCGGCCCCAATGATGGCCCCATTATGTACAGGTCCCGGCCCCAATGATGGCCCCATTATGTACGTGTCCCGGCCCAATGATGGTCCCCATTATGTACGGGTCCCGGCCCCAATGATGGTCCCCATTATGTACAGGTCCCGGCCCCAATGATGGCCCCATTATGTACTGGTCCCGGCCCCAATGATGGTCCCCATTATGTACGTGTCCCGGCCCCAATGATGGCCCCATTATGTACAGGTCCCGGCCCCAATGATGGCCCCATTATGTACGGGTCCCGGCCCCAATGATGGCCCTATTATGTACAGGTCCCGGCCCCAATGATGGCCCCCATTATGTACAGGTCCCGGCCACAATGATGGCCCCCATTATGTACAGGTCCCGGCCCAATGATGGCCCCATTATGTACAGGTCCCGGCCTCCATGATGACCCCTATTATGTACGGGTCCCGGCCCCAGTGATGGCCCCATTATGTACAGGTCCCGGCCTCCATGATGGCCCCCATTATGTACGGGTCCCGGCCCCAATGATGGCCCCATTATGTACAGGTCCCGGCCCCGATGATGGTCCCATTATGTACGGGTCCCGGCTCCAATGATGGCCCCATTATATACGGGTCCCGGCCCCAATGATGGCTCCCATTATGTACAGGTTCCGGCCCCAATGATGGCCCCATTATGTACGGGTCCCGGCCCCAATGATGGTTCCTATTATGTACAGGTCCCGGCCCCGATGATGGTCCCATTATGTACGGGTCCCGGCCCCAATGATGGCCCCATTATGTACGGGTCCCGGCCCCAATGATGGCCCCCATTATGTACAGGTCCCGGCCCCAATGATGGCCCCATTATGTACGGGTCCCGGCCCCAATGATGGTCCCCATTATGTACGGGTCCCGGCCCCAATGATGGTCCCCATTATGTACAGGTCCCGGCCCCAATGATGGCCCCATTATGTACCGGTCCCGGCCCCAATGATGGTCCCCATTATGTACGTGTCCCGGCCCCAATGATGGCCCCCATTATGTACAGGTCCCGGCCCAATGATGGCCCCATTATGTACAGGTCCCGGCCTCCATGATGGCCCCTATTATGTACGGGTCCCGGCCCCAATGATGGTCCCCATTATGTACGTGTCCCGGCCCCAATGATGGCCCCCATTATGTACAGGTCCCGGCCCAATGATAGCCCCATTATGTACAGGTCCCGGCCCCTGTGATGGCCCCCATTATGTACAGGTCCCGGCCCCATTATGTACAGGTCCCGGCCCCAATGATGGCCTCCATGATGTACAAGTCCCGGCCCCAATGATGGTCCCCATTATGTACGTGTCCCGGCCCCAATGATGGCCCCATTATGTACAGGTCCCGGCCCCATTATGCACAGGTCCCAGCCCCAATGATGGTCCCCATTATGTACGTGTCCCGGCCCCAATGATGGTTCCTATTATGTACAGGTCCCGGCCCCGATGATGGTCCCATTATGTACGGGTCCCGGCCCCCATGATGGCCCCATTATGTACGGGTCCCGGCCCCAATGATGGCCCTATTATGTACAGGTCCCGGCCCCAATGATGGCCCCCATTATGTACAGGTCCCGGCCCCAATGATGGCCCCCATTATGTACAGGTCCCGGCCCAATGATGGCCCCATTATGTACAGGTCCCGGCCTCCATGATGGCCCCTATTATGTACGGGTCCCGGCCCCAATGATGGCCTCCATGATGTACAAGTCCCGGCCCCAATGATGGTCCCCATTATGTACGTGTCCCGGCCCCAATGATGGCCCCATTATGTACAGGTCCCGGCCCCATTATGCACAGGTCCCGGCCCCAATGATGGTCCCCATTATGTACGTGTCCCGGCCCCAATGATGGTTCCTATTATGTACAGGTCCCGGCCCCGATGATGGTCCCATTATGTACGGGTCCCGGCCCCAATGATGGCCCCATTATGTACGGGTCCCGGCCCCAATGATGGCCCCCATTATGTACAGGTCCCGGCCCCAATGATGGCCCCATTATGTCCGGGTCCCGGCCCCAATGATGGTCCCCATTATGTACGTGTCCCGGCCCCAATGATGGTCCCCATTATGTACAGGTCCCGGCCCCAATGATGGCCCCATTATGTACGGGTCCCGGCCCCAATGATGGTCCCCATTATGTACGTGTCCCGGCCCCAATGATGGCCCCCATTATGTACAGGTCCCGGCCCAATGATGGCCCCATTATGTACAGGTCCCGGCCCCTATGATGGCCCCCATTATGTACAGGTACCGGCCCCATTATGTACAGGTCCCGGCCCCAATGATGGTTCCTATTATGTACGGGTCCCGGCCCCAATGATGGTCCCCATTATGTACGGGTCCCGGCCCCAATGATGGTCCCCATTATGTACAGGTCCCGGCCCCAATGATGGCCCCATTATGTACGGGTCCCGGCCCCAATGATGGTCCCCATTATGTACGTGTCCCGGCCCCAATGATGACGCCATTATGTACCGGTCCCGGCCCCAATGATGGCCCCATTATGTACGGGTCCCGGCCCCAATGATGGCCCTATTATGTACAGGTCCCGGCCCCAATGATGGCCCCCATTATGTACAGGTCCCGGCCCAATGATGGCCCCATTATGTACAGGTCCCGGCCTCCATGATGGCCCCTATTATGTACAGGTCCCGGCCCCAATGATGGCCCCATTATGTACGTGTCCCGGCCCCAATGATGGTCCCCATTATGTACGGGTCCCGGCCCCAATGATGGTCCCCATTATGTACAGGTCCCGGCCTCCATGATGGCCCCATTGTGTACAGGTCCCGGCCCCAATGATGGCCCCATTATGTACAGGTCCCGGCCCCATTATGTACAGGTCCCGGCCCCAATGATGGCCCCATTATGTACAGGTCCCGGCCCAATGATGGCCCCATTATGTACAGGTCCCGGCCCCATTATGCACAGGTCCCGGCCCCAATGATGGTCCCCATTATGTACGTGTCCCGGCCCCAATGATGGCCCCATTATGTACAGGTCCCGGCCCCAATGATGGCCCCATTATGTACGGGTCCCGGCCCCAATGATGGTCCCCATTATGTACGGGTCCCGGCCCCAATGATGGTCCCCATTATGTACAGGTCCCGGCCTCCATGATGGCCCCATTGTGTACTGGTCCCGGCCCCAATGATGGCCCCATTATGTACAGGTCCCGGCCCCATTATGTACAGGTCCCGGCCCCAATGATGGCCCCATTATGTACGGGTCCCGGCCTTCTTCGGTATCGGACCGTATTGACGGGGCTTTGTCGAGAAATAGGACAACTAGGACGTCCAGTCAGCTAACGTCATTTCCTTTACCTAATTTGTTAAAAATGTCCATAACAGTTGACCTGGTGGGGACGTTAATAACAGCATTACCATGTTTGGACACGTCCGGTTAATTGACCAGGCGACATCTGAAGAAATAGAAGAGGCTATTAGCAGGCTAATTAGTGGTGGGCCCTGTAGCTTCGTCGGTCGGTGCGAGTGATCTGTTGTCAGCTTAATGAACTGAGATTTAGTTATAAATCGTACCAGCATGACGTGTTTTAAGTTGACAAAGATGTGATAAATACATATTGGCATTAACGTCATATTGATATAATTGCATCCCAAATAGCTATTATTGTGTTCACTAATGATCATCGGGTAGGGGCAAGGATAGGTTAGAATATTCAATGTTACAAAGGGCATGCCATATATAGCACACACGGTCACGCACAACACGTGACTCGTACCTGTAGGCATATTTTTTACATACAGGAAATTAAAATGATGAAAAACTGAATATCTATGTAGGTATGTATCGTCATTATTACCACATTGATTATATATATATATATCTGTGTGTGTGTGGGGGTGGGGGGGGGGGGGGCGTGGGTTACAGGGTTTGGTATTATTGAGATATTATATTTTTTCCGATGGACACAAATACAAAACCAGAACGTTCTCAGTATTAGGAGAACAAATACTGTCGTGATTTCATCAATTTGTCGAAGTTATATTAACTATGTCTTCATAAACAAATGTGAGTGACACCCATACTTAGTGCCCCTAGATCATACCACATATCGACCGGATGCATTTTACGCAAACTAATTAAAAATTCAATAAACGGATTAAAAAAAGCCTGTTGGAACCACGCATATAGATTAACATCATGCACAGAAAAGAACGGAGATAAATTGATATATACCACTGACTAAAACAAAGCTTTACAAACTACACAAAAACCTCAGAAGTGTATCGAAATTCAGCAGACCGTAACGGACTTAGCACGTTCGACTTTTTAACGGCGATTACGAATATAGGGACAAAGAGAACACTACCTTCTGGAGCTTTGTTCATTTGACAACCCAGGCTTGCCATGAAAATCACACTTGGCTTCGTTCAAAATCTCTTCATATTTCAGCTTTATTTTTCCTTTATTTTTTTGCGAAAGTATTGCTTCGTAGCTGGTTATTTTAAATGTGAATACCTTTCGATAGGTTGCTTTTAAATGTAGCAGTGAATCAGCACCGTGTAT